TACCTCTTTAAGCTGTCCTATTTTTCCTCCTCTCTATGTGGCAGGGCTGAATTCAAAGCATATGGAAAGACAACAGCCTGATTGTTATAACAAAAGACATTGTACCAATCAGATTAACCAAGACAAGCTTGTTGTGAAGGCTTTAATGATCTCTCTGAGTTTGAGGCACACTCAGTTTACTTCTAACATGGGGTGGAATTTGATGGCATGTGATGGTCAGTGACTTTGTTTTGAAGCATGTTATTGTCTCCCAATATTATAATGCTGCAATTTCCTGAATATAGCAATGCTCTTTTAAGGATATCTTTTAGATGAAACTTAAAAAAAAAAAGCAAAACAAAAACAAAAAATTAGATTGTTTATATATATTGAGACATTGGGATTAACATTGCCTAACTATCAGCCAGCCTGAGGATTCACCACTTACAGCTGTTTACATGGATTTTGGATTCTAAGCAGTACTCTGTGCTCAAGCTTCTTCCTTTTATCCCTCTTTTACAGGGAACCAAAACTAGGATGGCTTCTGGCCACATCTTTTGCTTAAGCAAAGCAGTACCTACATTTTCTAAACTTGCTTGCAATTAATTCCTGTAATTTTGATTTTGGAAAGGACCTAAGCAATCATTTGTTCTAGCTCTTAATGTATTACCATTGGAGAAATAAAGGTTTGCCTATATTTTCTTGGGCTATTTGGTTCCTAGAAAAGCAACAACTTAACCATCCCTGGGTTGTGTATATGTGGTCAAGGAGTTAGAATCACATCAAAATGGCTTGTCCATGTCAGGGTATAAAGACTGGTCCAGGCTCACAACTACAAACTGACTAAAAAGAGGGTGGGAAAACTTAAATATATATCACTGTTTTAAGAATGTCCCACAATGAGGCAAAATCAAGGTCTTGTCTTTTTAAAATAATAATTTGAAACATTTCAGGGCAAAGTATTTACTTTGAGATCTTTTTTTTTCTTCACCTTGATTGAGTCTGGTGCAAGTGTGTACACATTCTAACACACTGTCTCTAAGAATCTGAATCCCGTGTGCTACAAATAGCTCAGTCCAGCAGGAACTGCAGAGAACAGTGCAAATAGATGTGCTCATTGGTTGGCATACCTGGGATAAGCACTTTATGTTGACGGGAGCTTAAGTGCCTTTTAGGTCAGAGAAGGAAGTCGAGGGAGACCTGGAGCGTCCCGGGTGGGGGGGCTAACATCCCTTCTTGCATTCACCTGCAGCAGAAGCAGGGCCAGGAAGGAACTGACCTGGATCTCCCCATCCCTCCTCTACCTTGGTGTGAGAAACCTGCTTTGAGACGCTGCATAGCTCAGCTAACCCAGGTCATCCTCCACCAGTGACCACAGCAAGTTCCTGCTGGTCTAAGTCCCTTCCTCCCGCGCCCACCCTCACACACGATGCTGTCAGACAGCCCAGAGTGGGCCCACCTGCTACATGCAGTGCCTGTGTTTTGTGACCTGTGAGCCTTGTGTGGATCCTGGTATTTAAAACCGCCACCACACCCCATTCCAGCGGGACCCGGTTCCTTTGTCCAGTAACTAACTACTCAGCAGTTGGTGCTTCTATCAAAAAGCAGCTTCAGAATTCTCTCAATGAAACATGAAAGGCTGCCTCATAGAGGATTGAAAAGGGTGGGGGTGCGGGAATCATACATTTAGCCTGATTTGTAGGAATTTGGACAAATGGTTGAAAGCAAAGTCATCTTTTTTTTTTTTTCATTATAACTGCAGGTCCAGAGCTCTAAGGCTGAGTGCTTTCTTGGGGCAGAGCCTCAGCTAGCTAGTTCTGTCTGCTGTCAGCTGGCATTTTCTTTTCAATTCCTGTGAGGAAATCATGGCAGAAGGAGGTTAACTGGTCTTCTAGGTTTCGGAGGCCGAGGCATCAGGGAGGGACACCGGAGAAGACAGGGAGCCCTCTCCGGCTCCACGGCCTCGGGCTTGTGGCCTTACAGGTGAGGCCAGTGTTTTCCTTCCTCTCGATTCTGATGGTGCAAAATTAGAGGTCAGGAACATTTGGGGGTGGGGTGGACTCTGCAGCCCACAAACGGAAGGAGGACTGGAGTTTCCAGGTCATTTATAGCACTTCCTTGACGTCGAGGAAAGGGAAAGAAAGGATTTCGACTAAAACCCTGAACTAAAAATGGAGAAACATTCCAATGAAAAGGATTATAAAGGTTAGGCTAATTCTTTCTTTCTTTGTTTGTTCACATGAACAGCCACTGAGAACCCAACTGGCATTTCATTCTCCTCTGTAATTGGGGACATGAGCAAACCAGATAAAGGAATCTCACAGATAATCCCCAAATTTCATTCTCATCCCTTAACTGCAACCTCTTCCCTACAAATCTACTCCAGCTCCTGATCAAAAGAAAAATGAGCTGATGGAAGCAGAAATGCCAGTGCAAGCCAGGCTTGTCTGCTGATGGAGATGGAAGGTGCAGGAAGGAGGCCGGTGGTTCTGAAGGACATGGAAGTGACCAGCCAGAGGCACGCTGCATCAGACACTGCGGCATGCTGGAGCGTCTCCACTCAGAGGCCAGACTCTAAAAACGCCAGAGCTGGCCAGGAAAACACAATGCCTTGGGTTCCTTCAGAGAAAGGGACGCTAAACTTTGAGAGGTGAGGGCCATTGTTGGGAAGACAAAACTTTGGCTCTACCCTTCCACAGTCAGACAGGGCCTGAGAATTAAGGTGATCTAAGTCAGATTAGCTGGAGAAACCCATAAGGCCTTTATTATATGTCCATGGAAGCCTTCACAGCGAAACAAAGACTGCTCCCCACCCCACAGTGAGTGTGTGGATGTAAGTGCTTATAAACTAGGTCGAAGAAAGAGTAGTAATGTGAAAAAGTAAAATTTATCAGTATGCTGAAGGAGATAAAGGTTCTATTCTTTTTTTTTAATTTTTTTTAAAGATTTATTTATGTATGTAAGAATTGGGGTACAGGCCAGATGTGTGGGGAGTGAGAGGATTCACCAGAGACACAGTGGGGAACAGAACAGAGTGGGGAACAGGCAAATTGACTGAAATACACTGCTGAGGGGAGCAGCAGGTGAGTCAGGAGAGATCTGCTGTGCCATGTGGGTAGCTCCCTGGCTGGGGATCAAACTCATGCTGCAGTGGCTGTGGATAGCTTCATAGGTGGCGTCTTAACCCCTTGTGCCACCAGGGAGGCCCCTCTTTTTTTTTTTTTTAAAGATTTATTTATTCGTGCATACAAGAGCTGAGGTGTAGGCCAGAGGTACAGGGTGCTGAGAGGATTCACCAGAGACAGAGTAGGGAACAGAACAGGCAGATCTACTGAAATACACTGCTGAGGGGAGCAGCTGGCAAGACAAGATAGGTCTGCTGCGCCATGTGGGTAGCTCTCTGGCCAGGGATCGAACTCATGCTGCAGTGGCTGCGGACAGCTTCACAGTGCTGAGATTCAACACTTTGCGCCACCAGGGAGGCCCAAAAGCCCAAAAAGGCCCAAAATTTTCAACAAGTTTTGTTTGTACTGATTTTGCTCAGCCTTGATTCCCCATCTCTGGGGTAAAAATGTTTCTTTCCTTGCAGTATAGACAGGGCATCCTTCCAATGGAACTTTTACCTCATTTCCTCAGAAGGAATGGAGAAGTCAGAATGCCCTTCTTGTGCCTGCTATTTTTCAAATGTCTTTAATTCAAAATAATCTTTATGTCAAAGTTACACATCTGGTGCTTATTCTCTACCCTTTACCACCCAGATGATGAATAACAAAACCTGAACTAGAGGTTGTTCTCCCCTCTCCCCAGTCTCTGGTTACCTAACTACATGTTGGTGTCCAGATGTGTGCTACACGGCAGCCCAGGCATGCCCATGCGGCTGCTATGACACTTGAGATGCTCAACTGGGAACGCTTCCCTTCAAGTGGTGGGTGCTTCAGAAAGAGTGAAGATTCAAGAGGGCATTCCCTAACTCTAAATGGAATCTTTCAGAAAATGTATCAACCTCTTTGGGGCTACCTTGGATAGGCTTGGGACATACTTCTATAACTACTTTCTTCCCTTAGATGCTACTAAGACTTGCAGGATAGGTTAATATGAAAGACAGTAGAATGATCGAACCTTTATCCATACCTTCCTCCAAATCATCCTTTCCTCTAAATAATTCCTTGGGGATGGCTGGAGATAAAGGTAAATACTCAGGTTTGGAGGAGTGATGTTCTGGATTTATTTGGATCACTGGGGAATATCTATCTATTGTGAGAAGCTAAATAGCTGTTCCAAATACACTCTTTTCTATGATAGACAAGCAAGGAAGTTTAGTACTTTTAGGGGTTAAAGGTTCACATAAACATTCCCAATTGGTGCCACTGTAGGTCACATTGATGCAAACTTATTTTTTTAATATACTCAACCTCCACCAACACTCTGCAAGGTCTTAGCAAGATGTGACTGAAATATGAAGCAGATGGAAAATGCCACAGTCATATCCAAAGGGTCCTTACAAGGTGAGATCTGCTCTGGTATCCACCATGGCTAGAGTCCCACTCAAGTCTAGGCAGGCTAAGAAGTCTGTACCTGATCACAGGAGCACAGCTGTTCTGTGCAAAGACAGGCAGAGATTGAGGCAGCACAGAGGCAAAGCTGAGAGAGAGAAAGGGCTGTAGTGAGTGTTGATTATATCTCCCCCACCTCTGCTCACCATTGATCAGGCCTGGCAGCTCAGGGAAGGAAGGTGTCCTTCACTCCTTTGGGTGATATGTAGGAGTAGAGATTCCCTTTTATCCGCTGCAATCAGTACAGGCAGCAATGGTGGTAAGAAATGGGGAATGACACCAGTAGGGTTTCTGCATCCAAATAAGACTTGCTGGCTTTCTTGCTGGCTCTGCCTAAGGCAAAAGGGACAGGAGAGGCCTGGTGTGAGGGGCTGCTGTGAGCCCAAACCTCAAATCAAGTATGAATCATATGGGTCATTAGGAAGTATCACAGATCCTTGAGAGAACATTCTATAAACAGCATCAAAGTATGTGGTCAAGAACACCAATGAACTCATAATCATTTATTGTAAATCACTCATAGTTTACACATTATTAATGGCAAAATAACACGGTTAAACACCTGCTGGATGAAGAACTTCATTATGACAATTTCCTATTGGCATCACTTCTTTTGCAAAAAAAAAATGTTAATTTTAAATCCTACATCTTTCCTGAAAATACCTATTTTTGAAGTGCTCCAATGCCAACACTATAAGCCTTTCTTTTGCTCTAACATCTAACACAAAGGGCACGCTGTCCCATTAATTCCACATGCTCTTTACAAGGCAACTTAACACATTAAAATTTTTTAAATCCAGAAGCTACATAATGATCACTTTATATTTTGCTGCAAAATCAATGAAGGCTGCATGCAGGTGAAACATTAGTAGACACTGAGTTCTAGATAACTGTCGGTTATTAAGATCTGATGGTCTGGCATGGAAAATTAATATGCTTATTTAGCAGAAGTAGCTAAAGTACATGCATCAGTGGCTGGGATCAATTAGAATATAAATTGGGTGTCTAAACATTTAAATGAGAGCTTCATTTGAGCATAATTTGATGTCTGGCATGTCTGTTATATACCTGTAAAATGACAACAGCAAAGAGAACAAAATCAAACACAGGCATTGATTTGTAGGGTGGGCTGGGCATATAGCTCAGGACACAAACCAGCTGCGCAGTGAACAGATAGATCTCTTTTGAAGCAAAGACAGTGGAGCATTAACAAGCTGTAAACAGGGCAAAAAAATAAGAGAGCCATTTCCTGTATTCTCATTTTTTTAAAGTTCTCAATCAACTTATTCAAAAAACAACAATAAAAACATACACACAATAATTACAAAACAGAAACAGTCTTTAGTTACTACTTGGATTCCTCTTTTGTCTTGTACCCTGCCTCTCTGCTCCTCCAGATACTGTGTTTAAAAATGATGCTGAATTAATTGGTAGAAAAAACAAATGCTCTCCTGAATCATACTGAAAGAACATTAAATTCCTTCATCCTGTCAGGGTTAACATCATGTATAAGCACATGATAATGTATGTGTGACATATTGCAGCTACAGCGATTAAATCACATGTCCACGCTCTAATGTTAAATCATAGTTACATTGACTTTAAAAATTTTTCATTGAGAGTTGTATTTTGACATTGAGACAAACAAAAAATTCCCAAACCACAGAGATTCCATTCCCTCCCCACCCTTGACCCCTCCCACAGTCCAATGAACAGGAGAACTATAGTAACAAAAGCTTTGAACCGAGGTGTCAGCGGCTGACTCGTTGGTTGGCGGTTCCAGGTTCAAGCGCTGCCATCTCCAGTCCTGGCTTTCCGGGCCTCGATCATTGACTTGGTTGCCCGTTTGCGGTCAGTGGCCAGCCCCAGCCAGCACATGAAGTCAATGAACCAGGTGGTTGGGTTGAAATTTAAGCCAAATTCACTCGCAGAGTAGTCAAAGGGAAAGGTGTGATGGTAATTGTGGAAGCCTTCACCTGGAAGACAAAGAGCTTGAAATCATCCAGTCACCATCTCTCTGCACAATTTTTAAACCATTTATCGAGAGTCTACCATGTACAAGACACTATGATATAAGATGGGGGACAGAATATGTGGTTCCTGCCCTCAAGAAGCATTTGCTTCGCTGACCAGACAAAGTAAATGTGAACAGAAAAATAGCAATGAAGTTGTCAGCATCAAGTCCCAAGATTAATTTTCCTGTATGATTTGTAGACAGGGTTTCATAACTTCAACAAGTTGGGAAAAAGGAATAAATTCTTCCTTCCTCTACCATTTGTCCTATTCAGACCCTGACCTAACTGCATAATACCCACCTTCATAGGGAAGGGGCAATCTACTTTACTGGGTCCACCGACTGAAATGCTAATCTCACCCAAGGAGCAATAGTATTTACTGGGCATCTCTTGGCCAGTCAACTTCATACACAGATTTAACTGCCGTAAAGAAAGTAGTAATGCAGGGAAGAGTGGGGAGTACACGGAAGGTTAATTTTCTTAAGCTGAATGCTTGCTTCTCTCTCTCTCTCTCTCTTTTTTTTTTTTAAGATTCATCCATTTATACAAGCACTGGGTACAGTCAGAAGTGTGGGAGGGTGAGAGAATTCACCAGAGCCAGAGCGGGGAGCAGAGCAGGCAGAAGGACCGAAGTACACTGCTGAGGGGAGCAGCGGGTGGCAGGAGAGGTCTGCGCGCCATCTGGGACTCTCGCCCAGCGGCCAGGGATCGAACCGGCGCTGCAGAGGTTGCGGGCAGCTTCGCAACCCAGCGCTCAACCGCTGTACCACCGGGGAGGCCCTGAATGCTTACTTCTCTTAAGCTGAATGCTAAATGGCTGATAATAAATCATTTTGATGTCTATTTATAAAAGTAAAAGAACAATAATCTCTGTGGACAGGAGTGACCAAAGAAATACACTTGGATAGTTTGGGATAGATGAGAATTGTTCAGATGGGATAGTAAAATAAAGTTGGATCTTTAAGTATCCAAAATCTACTTATATATTTCCCTCCCCAGTATATAACTTTTGCTTCCTTACCTTTTTAAAAAAGTTGTTTTCATGAGAGGTCTCAGGGTTTCTTTCATTTTATTTTTTGAGACAGCTTTATTGAAATAAAACCCACTTATCCTACACTTTACCTATTTCAAGTATATACTTTCATGGCTTTCAGTATACAGACCTTCCCCAGCTCAATGGAATTAAGTCCTGATAAACCCATCGTAATTGAAAATATCTTAGGTCAAAATGCTGCAATACACCTAACCTGCAGATAACCTAACATAGCTTAGCTTAGGGCTCAGCCTGCTTTAAAAGTTTCAGAACACATGAAGCTCTGACTGGGAGCCACAGCTCAATGCCGCTGTCCAGCATCTCAAGAGAGTATTGTGATATATAGCTAGCCCAGAAAAAGATGGAAATTCAAAATTCAAAGTATGGTTTCTATTAAATAAATATTGCATTTGCACCATTGTAAAGTCAAAAAATGTTTGAGCCATCGTAAGTTGGGGACCATTTGTATTCACATAGTTGTACATCATTACCAAGATATACTTTATAACATTTTCATTACTAGAAGAAGAAACCCCACATCCTTTTGCTTTAACTCCCCACAATTCCCCATCCTTCCCTGCATTACTGCTTTCTTTATGGTGGTTATTTCTATGTATGAACTTGACTGGCCAAGGGATGCCCAGATCAAATATTACTTCTGTGTGTGTCTTGGGGTGAGATTAGCATTTCAGCCAGAGGACCCAGTAGATTGCCCCTCCCCAAGGAAGGTGGGCATTATGCAGTTAGGGAAGGGTCGGAATAGGACAAATGGTGGAATAAGGAAGAATTTATTCCTTTTTCCTGATTCACTGATTGAACTGGGGCATTATCTATCCTCTTTGGCCCCCAGACTGGTATTTACACTATTTTTGTTTCTGCTGGTTTTCAGGCTTTCATACTTAACTTAATCACCCCATCAGCTTGCCTGTGTCTCCAGCTCACAGACTGCAGGATATGTAATCTCTAAGTCTTCAGTCACACAATCAAATTCCTCATAATAAATCAGTATCTAAATCTATATCCATATCTATACAAAAACAATAGGATAGATATGTATCTTTATATCAATACATACATACAGACAGACAGACAGATAGACAGATAGATAGATAGATAGAAAAAGATAAATATCTATATCTTTATACTGCTTCTGTTTCTTTGGAGAACACTGACAATATAGAACCTCTATAACCTATTTTGAACATTTCATACAAATGATCTCTTATCATAAGTACTGTGTTGTTGGCTTCTTTAATTTAGCACAGTGCTGTCAAAGTTGTGGCAGGTATCGTACATTCATTTCTTTTTATTGCCAAATTGTATTCCATTGTTTGGATATACCACATTATATTTATTCATTCATGGGACATTTGGATTGTATCCACTTTTCAGCTCTTATGAATAATGTTACTATGAACATTCACTTACAAGTTTTTGTGTGGACATACATTTTCAGTTCACTTGGGTATAAATCTAGGAGTAGAGTTGCTGAATCATATAGTAGCCATTTTTACTTCTTACGGAGCTACTGGTCATCATGTAGTCCTGCTATTGACCACATTTGAAGGATTCTGCTCTATCAAATCTATTCTGTGGTCTGTAATTTTCCTCTTAATGGAGTTCTTCTCCACTCTGTCCCTCCACCTTATTTTGAATGATTCTCCTGGATCAGAATACAGTGTGGGGAAGTTTCCCCCTATTTTCAGAAACAGGCATGAAGAGCTGCAAAGGCAGCTGGGAGTAACAAGGGCCCTCCAAGAGATATGTAAAGAAACTAAACTGGGAGTCCAATGTTGACTGGGGTAGAATTAAAAAAACAATACGAGTTGCGTATTAACAGTCCATCTTGTCCTCTCCCCTCTCCGATCTGGGAGTCCACACTGGCTGTGATTCCCCTCAATATAGTTCTCTTAGAAGATAGAGGATGAGAGGAAGAGAAAGTAAGAGCAGAATCAGGAAATGCCTTCTCCTGTTTTCCAAGGCTCTTTTTCCCTATGCATCCAGTTATCCCACAGCTAAATCTGCTGTTTACTCTATCTTGTATCGATTTTGTCAGTGTAAGAGCCCTGGCATCTTAATAAATGGATGACCCTCATGAAATGGTAGCAGAACCTCATTGCTGAATTATAGAGACAGTTTCTCCTTAACAGTAGGAACTTCCCACCCTGGTTTTGATTTTTGTGTTCAAGACTCAGCTTACCAAGAAGCCAAAGCTAAGACTATAAAGTTACAGCTAATATTTAGTAATCCCTTACTGTGTGCCAGCCACAGCGCTAAGTGGTTTAATGAGTGTTAACTCCTGTAATTCTCATGCCTCTGAGCTGGCTTCTCTGATTATCCTCACTTTTAAATGAGAACATAAATGCACAGAAGGGACAAGAAACTTGCCCAAGACCATATGGTAGGTAATAAAAACAATATCACTGAAGGCTTGTTTCATGTAAGCCCAGCTGCAAGCACTATGTATTAATTCATCTAATCCTCCAACAACCCTGGGAGATCAAATATTGCTATTATCCCCACTTCATAGAGGAGGACATGAGGTGCAGGGGAGCCAGAAAACGTGCTCAGAGAATAAATGGAGAAACCAGAGCTTTGTCAACCTTATCAGAGTCCAAGACACTTTCTCAATGATTTTGTGCCCAGAGATGCCATCTTGTTTCTTCCCCTTTTTCTGTTTGAAGGCCTTCAAACAACCAAATGATTGGACAGCTGAAGCTAGAGTGATCAGGACAGTCTGAGAGAAAAGTCAACTGCTACTCCTTTAGGAAAATTTCATGCAATAAATAGCAACTAATTACAGATCACCTCCTTTGTGCTGGGCACTGTACCAAGCAATTTACATACAGGATCTTAACCCTTACAACATCCGTGTGAGGTAGGCATTGTCACTCCCATTTCACAGATGAGAAAACCGTATGTCCTGCCCCCCGACAGGTGACTGGATCTAGGAGATGTGATATACATACAAAATGAAATACTACTCAGCAATCAAAAAAGATGAAATCATGCCATTTGCAGCAGCATGGATGGAGCTGGAAGGGATTACGCTAAGTAAAATAAGCCAGGAGGAAAAGATGAATGTTTGATGGTTTCGCTTACATGTAGAATATAGAGAAACCAAAGTGTCAGGAAATAAGGATAAACTTGCAAGCTGACCATAGATGTGAGGCATACAGCAGGGGAGGGGTCCACACAGGGGCGGGAAGAGCACCAGGGACAGTGGTGATGGATCACGGGTGCTAACGTGGTGGGAGAACTATGGAACTACACCTGAGGGGAGAAATCAAATACTGTTCAAAAATTAACAACAATGTAAGAGTACACACACACACACACACACACACACACACACACAACGTATATATTAAACTATACATTAGCGAGATTAAGGGACTTGTCCAAGAGCAGGATTCTAGCATCAAAGCCCACATTCATTCCACTTCAACCCACTATCTCTTTTTACGGATTCTGCAAAATCATTGATAAGTCAAGAAAATTTGAGTTGCCGTTCTCCCCATTGGCTCTCACACCCCCACTCACCAATGGCACCCAGAGTGACCAGGGGGTTCTGCCGAGGGCTGATGTACTTGTCATAGGGTCGGTTTCCATACATATGGGCCGCACTGTTCACCAGCCAGGTGACATTGAGGGAGATGGTGTAGCGGAGGATGGAGGCCAGGAAGTAGGAAATCCACAGACTCTCTCCCCAGATGCACCAGGGCACCAGCGTAGGGACCACAAAGCACATGAGCACCACAGAGATCTTGTAGTACCTAGAAGGCAAGACATGACACTGTAAGGGAGCTCTGGTGGTAGCGATGGGGTTGGTGAGCAAGCCACAGAAGTCAGGAATCCTGCCCATCAGCTCCTTCAATTCATTGAACAAGGACCACTCAGTTGTACATCATGGTTTAGGAGTCACCAATCTGTATTCTAAGAAGGACTAGGCAGATAACACAAATTTGAGGATTAGGACAGGAAGAATGTTACAGGAATGGTCAGTCGAATGTTATAGGAAGCATAATTTCAACATGAAATAGTCACATTGGGCTGGCAAAACTCACTTATCTTAGAGCTATATTTGTTTTACAAACTATCACTACTGATGGTAGGTACAAATAGGTACAAATTTGTACAGTAGGTACAAATCAGCACCTACTGATTTCTTTCCTCAATCAACCTGGTAGTTGGGTTTTCTTGAATAATTCCAAGATCTATTGGATATTTCCTGAATAATTTTCAAGCACATGATTCTGTACTAACAGCTTGATAAAAAAGGTAAATAATCCCCTTCCCAAAATGTTCTCTGTCCCTCAGCATTTATATTCTAAAGCAGCATAAAAAATGAACAATAAGTATAGGAAAAGGCATGGCCATATAAAACTGAATAATTAATAATAAATCATTCATAGTGAAAATTTGACTTCTGGGACTGTGTGTCCAACAAATAGTTACTGAACACCTTACTATAAATTAGGGTGGTGATGCAAAGACAAATTCAACACAGTCCCTGCCTTAGGCTTCTGTCAAGTGCAATCACTGCTCACCCCCATGCAGCAGGGACAGGAGAGAGGCTGTGACAGGAGGAGCCACAGCCACCTCTTCACACGCACTTCCTCCCTGGCTGGCTGTGGGCCGGTCAAGCTCCCAGGAAGCCTCTGTTAGGATGCAGGTGTATGAACTGGGAGGCAGAAGACTGACTTGAGTACAGGCCTGATTCCGCATGTTGAAGGAAGCTTCTACTAATTCTTTCACTCTCTTCTTGTGCAGTTAGAAGGTATCTCCAAAAGCAGGATTCTGGGAAGAGGATTGCATCTATACAAAAGTCCTGAGGCGGTAGTGTTCCTGGCACACACAGGCAAGGCTCGTGTGTGGGCAGTTTATTTTGGGAAGTGGGCTTAGTTAACAGAAATGAATTACTGAGAAAGGCAAAACAGGGAAAGAGGTAAAACCATGCCCGAAGAGCAGCTGCTGTGAGCAACTGCACATATCTTGGATCTTGATGAGAAAGAATTTTTCTCCAAAGGAATGCAAGGAGGGACTTCTTTCTCTTTCTCTTTCTCTTTCTCTTTCTCTTTCTCTTTCTCTTTCTCTTTCTTCTTTCTCCTTCCTTCCTTCCTTCCAAAAATTAACATCAGAAATGATGTCTTTTTTAAAAAAAATATTTATTTATTTATTCATACAAGCACTGGGTACAGTCAGAAGTGTGGGAGGGTGAGAGAATTCACCAGAGCCAGAGCGGGGAGCAGAACAGGCAGACTGATGAAATACACTGCCAAGGGGAGCAGCAGGCGTGGCAGGAGAGGTCTGTCGCGCCATGTGGGACCCTTGCTGGCGGCCGGGGATTGAACCGGCACTGCAGAGGCTGTGGGCAGCTTCGCAGCCCAGCGCTCAACAGCTGCGCCACTAGGGGAGACCCTCTTTCTTTTTTTTTAAGATTTATTTATGCATGCAAGAACCGGGGTACCAGCCAGAGGCGTGGGGTGGTGAGAGGATTCACCAAAGACAGAGTGGGGGGCAGAACAGGAGGATTGACCAAAATACACTGCTGAGGGGAGCAGCGGGCGAGACAGTAGAGTTCTGCTGCACCATGTGGGCAGCTCCCTGGCCGGCGGGCAGGGATAGAACTCGTGCTGCAGAGGCCACATATAGCTTCAGAGTCCTGTGCTCAACCCCCTGTGCCACCAGGGAGGCCCAGGACTATTTTCTTACTGGCTCCAGTGCTCCCTGGTCAAGGGTTGTCACGTGGTATAAAAGCTCCCTTACACTTCCCAAGTGCCTGCCTGGGTGTGTTCCACAGGCATCCCGGATGGAGGCGGTGAAGAAGCTGGTAGAAAGTGAGAAATAAGCAGTGTAGCTGAGCAAGTTACCAGCTACATCATGTGGGTTACATCATGTGGCCACAGCAAATGCTGGAATGAAAAGGGGGTCAGAGGGTATGGGGTGGGGCATGAGCAGAGTCCATTACAGGTATCCATTATAATACTTTAGTGGGAATCAAATACTAATAACTAACATATACCATTGTGTTTCCTGTGTCACAAATATTCTAGGACTTACATAAACTCACTTAATTCTAACAAAAGCTCAAGCAGGAAGGGCCCATTATTGTCCCCATTTTACAGATGAGAAAATTGAGCAACAGAGAGGTTATGACGCTGACCCAATGTCACAAGACAAATGAATAGTAGGACCAAAAGTCTAGACAGAATGAATTCAGAAATCATCATAATATTCTCTGTTGTCAATGAAATCATATATGTGACTGTGCTTTATGGATTGCTGGTTGCACATAAACATTTTTTCCGATAATGATAACTGTTTCTATTGCACAACATAGAACCCATCAGCATCCATTTTCTAGTCACTGGATACAAGAAGCCTGCATTTTGGTGGAAGTGAGGTCAGATGAGTGGGCTGTGGCCAGAGGAAAAAGACCACACACCAGGGGGGCGGAGGTGTTTTAGCCTGAGCTCCCTAGAGTCATGTGCCCAAGGCTTTTGGGGAGTGCTTCGAAGAGTTACCTATAAGAAGTGAGGAAGGCAGGATTGGGCCAAGGGGTAAGCTCATTCACAGTGAGTCTCAGGAGATCCAATGGGGAATTCTGGGCTGCTTGACCCTTTAGACTTGTCCCAATGGAAAGGCATCCTCATATCAGGCAGTCATTGGCCTCAAGGGGTCTCCTGGGAGGGGTGAAGCCTTAGGTAAGGTGGTTTCATGTGGGCAAAGGCAATTCCCAGAAGTGACAGCAGTGGGGAAGGGGTGGCATGGAGCACCAACAGAAGAGGGGATTTTGGTAAAGCACACAGGCTCTGGTCAAGGACCTTAAGAAATGGGGGTGAGCATGTGAATAGGCAGGGGCTCTCAAGGGAAAATGGAAAGAGGCCCTATAAGGGGCAGGATAGGGACAGTGAGCAGGTTTTCTGATCCAACAGACCGGATAAAGGAGGAGTCAGAGTCCTCAGTGGTTTTGCAGGTTTTTATTGGGGCTCAGCGGGTACGTGGCAGGCAGGGGTGCTGGGGGGCCGGGAGGCTGGCAGTCCTCCCAGCCCCCAGCAAATCTTCACTCTATCTGGGCTCTCTGGCGTTCTCTCTGCTTCTCTGCTCTCGGCTTCTCTGCTTCTTTCTCGGCTTCTCCTGGCGTCCCCATGACACCGCCCTTATAAACTCAGTCTCTCAGCCCAGTTGTACCCATTTCAGGTGCCCGCCATCAGGCATGCATTCAGGACCACAGGGTTCCCTCATCTATCCTAATGGCGGGAGGGCAGAAAAGCCTGATGCTTTTTACCTTACCCTACAGGCCCAGAGCCAAAAGTTTGCCACAGCAGCTCCTAGTTGCACCTCAGAGGAAGAAAGGAAGTTGCTGAATTTTCCAACAGAAGCCGTTTTGCAACTTAAGCAGCTTCTTCTCCGTCCTCCCTTCTCTGGGTTATAACCCAGTACCTTTGAAAAGAGCCTCTCCTCATCCTGAGCCATTGTCTTAGCCCTTAGTCTGTTCCTGAAAAGAATAAGGAGAAAGAAAATACAGGTATTGACGGCTCAATCTGTGCTGGCACTGGACGAAGCAAGTCACACGCCTTCTAGCACTCTGATTGTTCAAAGGCACTTGGGACAAACACTCCGGCCTGCCTTGCCTCTAGTTCTAGAAGCTCCAGTCTCCAGAGGCGGTGGGTCCCTGTGGAGGAAAGGCCAGCAGTGTGACTTCCCAAGTGGGAGGAGAAAAGGCCTGGGTTTTAGCACAACCTCCATCGAGCCAAATTTCCTCTATCTCAAAAACAGACGCTCTTTAAAATTTACTGTTCTGGTTTCAACAAAGCTTTAGCAGATCTAATTATAGGATTGTTCTCTGATTGCTCTTCCTGTGGTCTGCTAGGATTCCTCTGGGTGAGTTCAATGGAATGGATGAAAGAGGACAGAATTTGGCAGTGGGGGGTGGGCACAGTGAGTCTGGCTGGGTCTGCCAGTGAGATTGTATGATAACTGGGTAAAAATTCTCCCCAACTATTTCAAATGGACTCAGCAAATCCCTTCCCTGCAGCCCTCTGTGCTCTATCAGCCTCCAGCAGCTGGAATCCATTTAATTGCAGTCACTGCCCTTAATGAGACGCTCCCTGGCTTCTTCGCTAAATAACACTTAAATTTGGCACCCTAACCTAAGGTCCACAGAGCAACTCCATCAAACCCTCCAGCACCTAATTCTTCCTTATTTCAAAGATTTCCTCTCTTCAACTGGTGGTAGGGAGAAAGACTAGAGAGGAACTATTGATATTGCTCGTCTTCTTGTTAATTTTTTTTCATGTTGTAAAGCATCACAGAACTTTTAACTACCCAAATCTGCCACTTCCTAATTCTCGGATCTTTAGCCTCAGGTTTTTCTTCTGCTCATGCTGAGCCTCAGGTTTTTCTTCTGCAAAGTGCAAATTTGTTGACTGTCCTCTACGTGCCAGGCACTTTCCTTGCACTGGAGATATAAAATGGACAGAACAGACTATATATATACCTATAGCGTGTTTTATTTCTCAGCTCTCATTCTTCATTCTTGCTGACTTAGTGGTCAGTCTCACCAGCTAGATCAGTAGACTGACCCCTGATTACACATTAGAATCAATTGGGGGAATATTTAATAATGAATGAATCAGAATTTCTGCTCTGGGCATTGAAATTTGTAAAGTCTCTTCATTGCAAACATTGATGGTAGCTTCCCTCATCCTTCTTTCTTTTTATCTGGAATGTCCTGATTTTTTTTTTTAAAGATTTATTTTATTTATACAAG